TGGATAATGTTTATGTTAAGAAAGTGGAAAAATTTGATCTTTTCGCCTTCGGGTGAAGTGTTTCGATTTATTATGGAAGATCTCAATGTATGTCAATAGGAGAGGATGGTGATTCGCTTGAGGAATCCTGGGTTCTGTTAATCATGTGGTGTTATGTAAATGTTATGAATAAATTTTATCTTTTTAGTTAAAAGGAGCGGTTTTTATGTCATATGATTTCAAGATTGTGAGAATCACAGCTAAACCTGTTGCTTATTAGGATAAATGCTTTGTTGGGTTAAAGACTTTAGGGGAATTTAGTATGTTCGAGTGGATACCGCATAAATTGTGCACATTATTATTAAGGATATAATGATTAGTATTAATATGTCATCAATTGAGTTGGTATGTGTAATGTGTAAGTTGGGTAAGCCGATCGAATATTGAGGAAGTGAGAACTGATCCGCCCGGTTCAGGGATATGTTTGGACATCAGTCAAAGAAGAAGAAGAAGAAGAAGAAGAAGAAGAAGAAGTATAAATAAATCAATTGGAATCTTGAATGGTTATAGCATCTCTGCATGATGAACCCATGATGAAACTCTTGCGTACAGCGCGTGTAAGGGGAATAAAGAGATGATATTGTTCTTGATGAATGGTTGTTAAATGTTTGCTTCAAAACTAATTCTTGAAAATACAATGACCTGTCATTTGTCAATGTGGGATCACTGGGATGGTTCACCTGTTTTTGATTTCTGCTTACTTGTTTGGGTTGGATCAGAACCTTAACAAGGCATTATGGCTCTTCTCAATGTGATTATAACTTTAGCCGTGACTGGCTTAGTTCCTTTGATCCATAGTAGAATATTATTGTGTAATGTGTACGTTGGGTAAGCCGATTGAATATTGAGGAAGTGAGAACTGATCCGCTCGGTTCAGGGATATGTTTGGACATTAGTCGAAGAAGAAGAAGAAGTATAAATAAATCAATTGGAATCTTGAATGTTTATAGCATCTCTGCAAGATGAACCCATGATGAAACTCTTGCCGACAGCGCGTGTAAGGGGAATAAAGAGATGATATTGTTCTTGATGAATGGTTGTTAAATGTTTGTTTTAAAACTTATGCTTGAAAATACAATGACCTGTTATTTGTAAATGTGGGATAGTACACCTGTTTCTGATTTCTGCCTACTTGTTTGGGTTGGATCAGAACCTTAACTATGCATTATGACTCTTCTCAATGTGATTACAATTTTAGCCGTGACTGTGACTGGCTTAGTTCTTTTGATCCGTAGTAGAATAAATTCGTGGCGATTGTTAAAATTATTGTACTTTTATGTCGATGCTTGGGAAACAAGGCCAGTTCATTAGTTCTGCATCATCGTGAATATTTCCAATAAGACTTGTCCCTTTTGAGAAAGACAGACTTTTTTTTTTTGAAGATCCATTATGAATTTCCAGTTTATCCAAACTAGCTTTATTGTTTTTTTTTTTGTGAAAACAGAACATTTTCAATTTAAATCTGTGCTGGAATATGGTACTTTAAACAATTTATATTATTATATATAGTGTATATTTGTCCTTGGCCAGCCCATACTCTTTCATATCAATCTGGTGCAA